AGAGAAGGCTGGGGACAGAGGGGACCGGGAGTCGCGTTCGGAAAAGGGCAGCGACCGCCTGGAGCGTCCCGACCGGGGGGAGCGAGGAGAGAGGAACAGATCTGCCCTCACCAAGAGGAGCTTCAGCAAAGAGACAGAGGACAGGAGCCGGGAACGGGAGAAGCAGGGCGGCCCCGAGGCTGTGCGCAAGGCTGCTAGCATGACGGAGGAGCGGGACAGGAGCCGAGAGACGAGTGAGTTTGGGAGGAAAGGTGCTTGCCAGGGTCTGGCTGCAGGCTGAGCCTCCGCCTGTCCCAGGCGGTGCCTGATCCCTTTTTTTCCTCCTTGCAGTTAAGCAAGAGCCAGCACCTTCTGCAGAACCCCCCAAGCCCACGCTGTCAGAAGAAGAGCTAGAGAAGAAATCCAAGGCAATCATAGAGGAATACCTGCACATCAACGACATGAAGGTGAGAGGGAGGGGGCAGCCAGGCACACATGCTGTATGGTCCCTGTAGCACACCATCCCCCTCCTCAGGCAGCAGCACTATGTTGGGAAAGATATTGGCAGTGCCTGCATGAGGAGGGGGGAGCTGGGGCTGGCCATGGGGCAGCACTGACCTCTTGTCCCTGCAGGAGGCCCTGCAGTGTGTGCAGGAGCTGGGCAGCCCCTCCTCGCTCTACGTCTTTGTGCGGAACGGCATCGAGTCCACGCTGGAGAGGAGCACGATTTCCCGCGAACACATGGGAGTCCTGCTGTTCCAGCTGGTGAAGGCTGGCACGCTCTCCAAGGAGCAGTACTACAAAGGGTGAGGGACCGCGGCAGGCTGGCCCCGAGGCGGTGCGCGCCCTTGCAGCGAGGAAGACCTGCTGTGTACTGGGTTGCTTTAGCAAGGGCACAGCTAACCGGGCAAGGGAAGATACTGTGTTCAGCATCTGACCCAATCGCTGGCTAGTGGGCCTGGTTGTGGACTCTGCAGTACAAGAGACACTGACTCAGTCTAGTGCTGGGGGATGGGGACACAAAGTATGAAATGAGGCTGGGGGAGCTGGGTTTGTGCCCTGGAGAAGGGACGTCTTCGTGCTGCTTTCCAGTACCTGATGGGGGAGTTACAGACAAGAGACCCTCTCTTCTCAGAGGTGCCTGTGAAAGGACATGCGGCAACAGGCATAGATTGCAGCAGGGTATACTAAACGCTGGGACAGGGCTCAGAGAGATGGTGGGTGTGGAGTCTCCGGTCCTGGAAACGCTCAAAGCTTGCCTGGCTAACCTGCCCTGGCTTTGCATTCAGTCCTGTGTTAAGCTGAGGGCACGGGGGCAGTCCCCTCTGCTGCCCAAGGCTGGGTGCCGCGTCAGGGCCTCCCTGCTTGATCCCAACACCCCTGGCCTCTGCCCCGCAGGCTGCGGGAGATCCTGGAGATTGCAGAAGACATGGAGATCGACATCCCGCACATCTGGCTGTACCTGGCTGAGCTTATCACACCCATCCTGCACGAGGAAGGCATTCCCATGGAGGAGCTGTTCAGGTGAGGGCTGTGCCCCTTTGCAGGGCTTGCATGGGGGCCTGGAGCAGATTCTGGGGGCAGGAATTTTAACTGTGTCACTTATGCCCTGTAGGGAGATTACAAAGCCCTTAGTGCCCATCGGGAAGGCCACCACGCTGCTGGTTGAAGTGTTGGGCTTGTTGTGCAAGGGCATGGTAAGTGTGAATGGGGCTTGTGTAGCTGGCGTCGTCTACCTCAGGGGGCTGGCAACCCTGGCATGGGCTCCCTGACCCCCTCTTCGGGGAGCAGGTCGGCACACAGGGATCGAAACACTTTGCAGCTGGAGGGGATGGAAGGGGGCCGGGCCCATGTGTTGGCTGTCTCTTGCCATGCTTGTGTCGCTGGGGTGCCACAGCCAAGCTGTAGCATCTTCTCCTGGGGTGGGGAGCAGCGCCTCTGGTGGGGGCCATGGCACCTGGGCGCTCACGCTGGCTGTCTCACAGAGTCAGAAGAAAGCAGGCAAGCTGTGGCGGGATGGGGGCCTGAGCTGGAAGGAATTCCTGCCTGAGGACCAGGATGTCAACAAATTTGTCACGGAGCAGGTGAGACCTCGACTGTGATGAAGGGGCAGAGAGAGGCTGTGGGGGCACCCCTGGGCCCCGCTGCCAGGAGCGTTTTCCTCCACTTTGCCTTTAAGCAGCTCATCTCTCCCTGGTCCCCCAGAAATTGGAGTACACGATGGGGGACAACTCGGACACGCCGAGCCGCAAGGAGCTGACCTCAGAGGAGCTGTGCAAGCAAATGGACAAACTGCTGAAGGAGAACTCAAACAACCAAAGAATATATGACTGGATTGAGGTGAGGGTATGGGCAGAGCTCCTGTGGGCCTGGGAGGGCCTTCCTAGCTCTGTCCTCTCCTCATGGGCCCCCTCTTCTCTTCCTTCCTTTAGGCTAACTTGAGTGAGCAGCAGGTCTCATCCAATGTATTTATCAGGGCCCTGATGACATCTGTGTGCCATTCGGCCATAGTCTGTGAGTACTGGGAGCGGAAGGGGGGGCTGCTGGGTGCGTGTGTCCTTGCTGCCCTTATCTCACGCCCCTTCTCCTGCAGTTGAGAACCCGTACCGCGTAGATGCCCAAGTCATCCGCAACCGGGCCAAGCTGCTGCAGAAGTACATGCGGGACGAGCAGAAGGAGCTCCAGGCGCTCTATGCCCTGCAGGCCTTGGTGGTGAAGTTGGACCAGCCTCCAAGTGAGTGTCACACACAGCGTGGGGAGGACCAGGAAGCCTGGGGAGAGGGGTGGCGGGCATCTCCCCCCGACACCTCCACTGGCCTGTCCGGGGCTGCCAGTGGCTAGGGAATGGCAGAGTCCTTCTTTGTCCCCCTGCCACAGACCTGCTGAGGATGTTCTTCGATGCCCTCTACGATGAGGACGTCATCAAAGAGGAGGCCTTCTACAAGTGGGAATCTAGCAAGGATGCAGCCGAGCAGCAGGGCAAAGGGGTGGCCCTCAAATCAGTGACAGCATTTTTCACCTGGCTCCGGGAAGCTGAGGATGAGTCGGACAACAACTGAGCAGCTGTGAGGAGGAGGAAGGGGGGAGAGAGCAGGGCACCCCGGGGTGCGACTCCATCCCCTCCCGCCCAGTGTCCCGTACCCCTGGCCCCCTGGACTTGCTCATGCCGGGGTCAAGGGACCTGCTGTGCCCCCAGCAGCCTTTCTCTTTTTATTTCTCTCTCCCCTCTTCCCCCATCCCGGTTTTGTTTGTGAGGCCTGTACTGGTTTGTCACGATGATAATAAACAGATGCTGATGGAGGCGGCTGTCGCTGTGGGTCCGCTCTGGGCCCCTCCTCTCCCTCCTCCCAGCACAGGGACCCGGGTCACCGGGAGGGGGGCAGAGAACCCCCAGACTCATGTCATGGGGAGAGGGGACAGGATGGGGACAATCTCTCCTCTCCTCTCCCTCCTCCTCTTCCTCCTCCCCACTTGCTGAAATATAGAGAGATTATATATATATAAACTTATTAAATTTGGTTTGGGGACAGGAGAGGGATTTCTCCCCCTCCCCTGTCCTCTCTCTATTTCCCCATCACTGCCTGGGCACCCCCCCCAAAAGTTTTTTATTTTAAATAAATCATTCCCCCCCAGCTCCTGCTCTGACACCTGGGAAGGGTGCCGGGAAGGAGGGGGGGTGACTCCTCTCTGGGCCAGGCCGAGTCCCCCCCAGAGACCCTATCCTCCCCCAAACGTTTAAGGCCACAATTGGGCAAGCGACGGGGCGGCCCCACATCCGTGTCCCCTGTATTTAAAGAGCGCTGGATGTGACGAGCCGCACGTGTAATTATTAAAACAAGGATTCAATTACTGGTCACGTGAATTTGTAAATAATTTTTTTTGCTTTTTTTTTTCTTTATGGAGTATTTAATTGAAGATTTAAAGGCATCTTTTCACCTTAAAAAAACTGGAAATAAAAGAACATTGCTAAATAACGCCCCCGTGTGCCGCTGTTGCTGCCTGGCCCTATGCCCCTGTCCCGTGTCCCTCACACCCGGGCTGGTGTGGGGCTGCTAAGGGCAGACGGTAGGTACCCACGCCGAGGGGCCCCTCGCTGCAGTGCTGTGGGCTTTGTGCCTGGGAGGGGGCTCCCTGGGGTGCCGACGGGAGCCGGGCATCCCTGGAGCCAGGCCTGCTGTGA